ATTCTTTTGCCGATGTGCGCGCACACCGAAAGCCAAAAAGTAACATGATGAATTTGGTTGCAAAGCGATATTATTCACTGATAATACCATGTCATAATTCCAATAAAATTTTTTTTGCATTAACTTTTAATTTCAAATTAAAAATGTCTTTATTCAAATTAAAAATAACTTTTAATTCAAATTTAATTAAACCGTTATCAATTGAATTTAATATATCACAAACAAAGAGTACTAGCACAGGGGAGAAAATTTTCAATTATTTTTCTTTTTAACTGAGGAAGTAGTAAGTTAGTGTAACTTCTTACTTGCGTACACACATTTTTTAATCAACTTTTTTACACACTTGTATAGTCCAGATGAAAATTAAATTTGATTTTAATCGAAAAATTTTCGCCACTGCTAGGATCGAACCACAAAGTGAACACGTACACTTTTTATAATGCACGTTAATACAATTAATGCTTCATAAAGCTTAAGACGTACTTACTGAGGAATTATGGTGGCATTTTGAGCAAGAAGTTTTTTTAATAGTAAAACATATGGCATAAAAGTTCATCAATTACCATCAGCCTAGCCATTGTTACTGTGATAAACAAAATTAAATTAGATGGCGCCTCTTATGCACTTTGTACAGAATTGAGAAGTCGTTAGGTACTGATTAGCCGTTCGTAAGAAGCCGTAAAGTAAGTGATGTCATTGAATGATTGCATCTGTTTCATGTCATATCTTGAGCTCGGAATTTCTCCACTTATATATTATTATGTTTGTTAAAACTTTCTCACTTGCTGTGCTATTAGTTATACCCCATTTAATGATTTTCTGTTCGTATTGTTCATGTTACTGTGTCCAATGTGCCATTGTGTGATGTACACTTATTTTTTTTCCTTTCGCGTTCTGCTATGTGACTTTTGTAAGGACACGCATATGTATTTGTAATATTTTTTGCCTACAAATACGACAGTAGTTCAAACTACGACGAAATTTGACAAGTTAAATAAAAATTTAACAAAAATTTTAATAAGAGCACATCTTTAATACTATTTTCTATTTATTTAATGATCTATCTGACAAAGAGTACAATTATTAAGTTTGTATATGCGCCTCTAAGAACTTTTAAATGTGACAGTGGAAAAGGCCTACATTGAAGGAAGTAGTAGGACTTTCTTCACCGCGCAATTCTTATAAACCTAAATTTAAGTAATCATTTCGCTGTTCGTTGGCAAAGTCGCGTAATAGTAATACGCCCAGGTTCAGGCTAGGCGCCTCGTGCGCCAGGCCACCTCAAGCCCGTCGGAACTATAAAGGCCCCTAAGGCCAACAGTGGCTCATCCAGCCCAAAAAAAAAAAAGTTGCCTGAGCAATTAATGTACAGACCTAGTGATAATCGTACCCTCAAATCTAATTCCATCTTTCATTGTAATTTAAGCCCTATGTATTTGCCCTACCCTATATGCAATATTAGCCCATATAAATTTATCTTGGTTGGTGTTACGGCTGTGATCTATTTTCACAAGATTAGTTGAAAATTAATAAACGGAATAAGTGTCACATAAAAATACTTTAAATACTGTTGTACTAGAGTTTAGAAAGGCATGTTAAAAACGAAACAAAGTGCACTAAAAGGAAATGCTATGACCCATTTTCAGAAATCTCACTCAAAGGAAATGCATGGTGTAAGTATCGAATGAATATTCGTAAAGCTTTTAGGGAGATTAAAAAAATGTGATTCAGCTTATAAGGATTTTTTTTACATTATAAATTCTAAATATCTTCTGCTTCATAGTCGATATCCATTTAGCTATGTAAAAATTTCTTTATATTTAGTACTGAATTTTTCTATTCAATTATTATAAGTTTTCTTAGAATAAATTTCACTATGTACAAAATTTGCTCAGCACGTCATCTAGCAATTATTACGATTCATGATGTTTCACTTTCAACGGTGTTAGATGAAATTCTAGATGGCGCGATAAACTAAATATGCATAGAGAAAATTCAGTTGTTAGGTTCTTTTGTAGGTCAAAATTTTGTGAAGATTATATACAAAGCCCCATGCTTTATTAATTTTAATACCTAATTGTTTCGCCAAAACTGCAATTGATAAATTTCGTTCGAAAATTACTCGATCGTATTATGAGGCACTAAAGCTGGATAGACAAAAAAAAAAACAAGAACGAAAAAAAATTGTTAGGTAATTATAAATTACGGAATTCAATTCCTAAAATTATCAATAATACCTACTGTTAAAATTTGTAGCATTGTATGCCATCTCTATTAGAACGATTTGACTATAGGAACTTTGAGAATTCAACGTTCAAATGATTTCGTTTACTATACACTAGATGGCGGTTTTTTAGAAAGCAAACATTAAATGAAAGTTTAATGAAATATTGTATTTATAAGTTGTCCGTATTTATGCAAAATGGAACCACACGACAATTTTGTGTTTTTCTTTTTTTTAAGAATACTGAATTTAAAAGTGGTCTAAATTCTTATTCAAAAAAGAACCACATGATTTTTCCCTTGGAAATAGGTATACAAAAAGCAGAAAGGAACCAACTGCAATCAAGGACATTACAATTCGACTAAATCGTAGTTCAGTTTATGTATTAAACATTAAATCTCATTTATAAAAAAATTCTTCCATTGAATTAAACTGTCACTGTGATTATTAATGATCCTCCTTGATTTAGGCAACTCAACTGCTATTTAACGATTTGTGAAAAAATGTCGCTTTTCGTAAGGTCTTTTTACGGATACACATTCACTTATAGTATAACATGCTAAAATATTTTTCGCTCTCTCTCTCTCTCGCTCTATCTGTTAGTCTCAACATTATTGTAGGTGTATTAAAAGTTTATACTTCTGCTCCAAATATGAAAAGCGCTTCCATCAAAGTCGCGATATATTCATTTTCAGAATGAGATTTTTTTAGCAGAGAGCAGAAGTAGGTCACCTACCTGATAGTAAGTGATCACCCCCGCTCGTGGTAAAGGAGATTATAAATGCGATTTTGAGACGGGAATTGGCTCTCTTCTTCTCTACTCGTATTTGGTGGGATTATTTGACACATTGTTAAGTACATTACACACTATGGCCCTTACAGTAATGGGAAGAAGAGATGCAGGTTATTAAAAATAACTATTCGTTTTTATATATTTTTTTTGTTTTTATTCAATGAATCTCCAGGAATTCATATTTATCCTTATTTTAATACTAAAAACAAATAATACTTTATACTAAAAAGAAAGAAAAATCCGTGATTATTATTGTGGCATCTAAATGGAAGAATTCACAGAAAGATATCATTATTACTAAAAATGGTATAAAACAAGAAAAGAAAGTTGATTACAGATTTATGTGAAATGTTTAACATTGTCATTATTTATAATGATATCTTAACATTTTCATATTTTATAATGATATTTTAACAAAAAATGTGATGGAATACAAAAAAGTACGATTTAAAGAATATAATTAGTCCTGAATTCGTCTCTCACTAAATTAAAATATGTATTTTAAAAGATAAACTTCTCCACCCTTATGTATAGTTTTCTTGTTACAAAAATATATTTGTGCAGCCCTTACTTAAAATAAAAAAACCGTAATAAACAGTTCAAGTGAGCAATATTACGACTATAATAATTATTATAATAGTCTTTCTATTATTAAAATTATCAAATACTAGGATTTTCCTTACTTAACGGTAACTAAATAAATCACTGCATTTTGATGTGGTAAATTTTTAGAAAACATCGTTATAAAATATATTTCTCCATAAATTTCATACAACGTAAACTCATAACTCATGCAAATATCAAAATACGTTCTTATTTTTTTATATTTAACACTCGCAATAAAGTTAGTATTGTGACATGTGCATACAATTAATATTTTTAAGTAAACCTTATTAGTTGAAACTTCATTTTTGTTACAGTTTTTGTTTAGCTAGTAAAGCTGTGGCAATTATTTTATTTAAAAAATAATAAGTATCATGTATCTTTCAACTTTTACTCCAGCATAGTTCGCTTTTACTTAATGTTGTTACTGTGTATACAGCGTGTCGTTACAACCGCGACAATAAATAAACACACGTCTAACGCTTCTTGCCACTAATCATAAAAAAAATATAAAAGTAAGAAATTCCATAAGTAAAAAAATATGTTTTTCAAACAAACTTATTAAGTAAAAAAGAAACAAAATTTGTAACATCCTATACAACTATAACTGACAGATTCATACATTCAGAGAGGTTTTCATTCGTTGCCATAACGTCGCATTACAAGTCTCTCCTTCTAACAATATGTTTTATCTCTTTTAAATACATTCAACCCATTCATAAGCTTTGTGAACTTTACAAATGAACTATATACGTTACAGTTTTATACGTAAGGGTGTTCTAAAAATGTTTGTTTTGTAAAATTTAATAACTCGGTAAATATTGATGTTTAAAGAATGTAAATGCTTAATACAATTTTAAAAACTTATCCTCTATATGTGTGCTCATTTATTGTCGCGGTTGTAATGACACGCTGTATATGCATGTGCCTGACAATTAATAAGCATAAGTTTTTATGATAATAAATTATATCAGGCGCATATCCACTTATTAAGTTGTAATATTGACCTGAATTTATGGAGTTCTTGGAAGGGAAACATTTTTTTTATGAACATAATAAAATTAGCAGATCAAACATAACAATAACAAATTAACTCTAGTTCTAAAGTTCTTTGTAATTTTGAATATTGAGTTTTTTTACATTCTTGGGACATGTCCCCATGTCGGTCCTCGTCCTTTAGCTCCATTACCCATAAGTAGATCCACTAAACCTTATTTTTAAAAGCGCACTTGACATCAGATTACCATGTCGTCCATTCAACTAAATATCATGAAGAAATGTTTGGCTTGTATTACTATTTCTACTAAATCGTAGCCACTTGTATTATCAGAGACAACTTTCCCTATATTATCGACACATTTCCCTATATTATCAAGATTATAAACTACCCTCTAATAGTTTCTCATCACACGGTCTTCTCTTTCCCAGCTGGTGACAGAGGTGAGGCGAGCCAACGATGTCACCCAGGAACACGCTTAGCAGATAAAGCTCTTTGGCTTGGTCTTCTGAACGCTTATATTGTCTGTGGATAGAATAAAAATCGTTATTTCTTTTGAATCTCAGATTAGTTACATAAACCATTGATTTAATAAACTATGACCCCGTGAGCCCATTTCATACGGCAGAAATGGCTTTGATCCCCACTATTGGAAAAATATTGCGTGATGATCATAATATTTTATCATTCTAAATATATATATAAATAAATATTTTTTGGGACACATTTTTACACAACGCTCTCTTGTCCCAAACTAAGCAACGCTTGTACTATACTATGGGTACTAGATAATTGATAAGCATACTTTTTTTTGTAAATATTATTATTATATACAACAATATTATTATTATATTATAATATTATATTATTATTATACAATACATATTAACAACACCCAGAAATCAGAAAACACTATGTAGCTATGTGTTACCTAGTAACCATAGTACAAGCTTTCATTAGTTTGGAACTAAATAACGTTGTGTAAAAAAGATGCCCAGATATTATATTTGTTTATTTCTTTATCGACTGGAATTGTCGGTGTCATTTTGTTTATATCATATCCTTGGGATAAGGAAATAGTAATGGGTAGATAAAGATAGCAAATAGAATAAACGTTGTAGAAATTGGTTTTAGAACTTACAGCTGTTAAAGCTATCGCCGTAAAAGAGGCACAATTGTTCGAAATAGATCGCAAGTTATAAATCCCATAATCGAAATGGTGTGTCAGTGGGATTTGAATCTGCAACCTTAAAAGACGTAACTCAACTTTCCCATCAATTAAACCACAACTCACAAGATATGTGAAGACGTAAATATTTTACAAACATATATACCTACTTATGGCCAGATTGACATATACAACTAGGCCTAATTTTTAGGTAAGTCACTGCATTTTTACTTTCAAAATGTGATTAAGCCATTGTTCGCTTTGAATTTGAATACATGCACATAATACCATTAACTCACATGCCTATATACAGATAGTGAATAGCAAATAGCGTTGAAAATCGAGTGCATCTCAGCTCTAAACCGCAAGCAAACTGTTGTCATTCTCGCAATCGCATGCGAAAGCACACTTTAACGGTGCCGCAATAGCTGTATATCTGGATTATTTCATAAAATCATTTAAATCTTATCAGCAAGGGGTTAAATTTTACTATGCACCGAAATGGCCGGCGATAGGGTTCAATTTTGAACAGCACCACAAGAGCAGTGAAAGTCCGCGGTGGATTACATAATAGTTGCTCGCCTCGGACTTCGAACGCAATGCAACGGTGACCTAGTGCACACATAGGGCTGGCTTCAATATTCTATCTACAGATAAATTTGATTACTAGCGATAGGTATTTGACATTAGCTCCATAATATTTATGTCAAAATTCTATCGCGATATCGCATATATATATATATATATTAAAAAGAATTATTTAAGAATTATATTATTAAAGAGCCGTGATAGCCCAGTGTCCGGGCGCTCGCCTTTAATTCAATATACTCGAGCAACCTGAGTTCGATCCCCGGTGCCGCACCAATGAAGTTTGTAACTTTAAGTGCTGACTTATATATTTCGAAGATATGTGAAGTCCGCCAATCCGCAGTGGGGCCGCGTGGTGGACGATGCCCTAATACCCTCTGTATAGAGGAGGCCTTTGCCCAGCAGTGGGACATGTATAGGCTGTTACTTTACTTTTATATATTAAAATGATAAGCTTAAATATTGAATACCAATATTGCAAGTGATAACTTTTCTAAAATAATAAGCATTAGTGTCTATGTTATATATTCCTAATCTCTTAAACTAGTGCCACAGTTTCAGCCTAAATTTTTAGTAAGATATCAAAGTAAATATAATTAAATGTCATATATTGTTTATGACATCTTTATTTAAACTCGATTAACTTTCTTAAATGCGGATTTATGATTTGTGCTTTTATAAACTAGTGTTACAATTAGGACACGTACATTAACTTGTTCCTAAAAGCTATAAAGCTAGTACAAATCTGTTCGAAACGCGTTCGCTTTTCAACTACAATCCACAAAACCAAGTCTGTGGTAGGGCCACGCAACTTCTCTATTGCAGGAATGCGCAGGGTAGTCCGGCAGTACCACGCCCTCAAAGAAAACCGGCGTTAAGTAATAAAAGTTTTATACTTGTGCGTTTCGTCTGTAAAAAAAAACCGGCAAGTGCGAGTCGGAGTCGTGCACGAAGGGTTCCGTACCATAAACCGGGAAAAATCATGTCTGTTGTACGGGAGTCCCACTTAAATATTTTTTTTAGTATTTATGTTATAGCGGCAACAGAGATACATCGTCTGTGAAAATTCCAACTGTCTAATTGTTACGGCGCATGAGATACAGTCTGGTGACAGACAGATAGACAGCGGGGTGTTAGTAATAGGGTTCCTTTTTACCCTTTGGGTACGCAACCGTAAAAATTACCAAGTCATGCAGCTGCGTGAATGGTCTACGTGACTGTCACAAGATGACCATTTCCATTACGTTTGTGTTGCGTTATTACGTCGGCGCCCCACTTGAGTACCGGCAGTGACAAAACGCGTTTACGCAACGTTTCGCGACCATCGGCCCAGATTCCGCTCACGCTTCGCGTGGCATTGGAACTCTTAGTTCGACGTTTTGGCTATAGGAACATGAGGTAACCGTGTCAAGGCCGACGATGAGCCTGTATATCGTTTTGTAACAATTTCTTCTTATGTTACGACATACATAGAGAACATAGCGTGAACACTGGAGTTTGTTAATAGAAATTGAGCAGCTAAAACAGAGAGCCTTTCCTAAACTGTTTAAGATTATACTTTTTCCATTAAACATGCTTTGAATATAAATTTGAGTGTAATTTTAGTAGATATTAAAACACATGCAATAGCAATATATGAACCCATTACACAACATTATCTAGTCCCAACATAATTAAATCTCTAAGCTATAGGTACTTGATAACTGATAAATATACATAAACATACTTTTCTTATGTAAATGAATACGTGCTAGGTTCATCACACGATATTTTTCCCGTAGTGGGGATGAAACTCATGCCCTTTGGCGTAAGAGACAGGTCCACAATCTATTATATTATACTATATTCTCTGCGTGATAGAGTTCGCAACGAAGACATCCGCAGTAGAACAAAGGTAACCGACATAGCTCAGAAGTTTAGTAAACTGAAGTGGCGATGGGCCGACCATATAGCCCGTAGAACCAATAACCGTTGGGGAAGAAAGGTTCTTGAGTGGCAGCCTCGTACTGGCCATCGCAGTATGGGACGACGCCCTAATATATGGAGTGACGACCTGTACAAGTGTACGGAAAGTCAATGGATGCAGGTGGCTCAGGATCGTGCCTATGTTATATATTTTTGAGCCGTGATATATGAGAGCCGTGATAGGAGAGCCGTGATAGGAGAGCCGTGATAGGAGAGCCGTGATAGCTCAGTGTCCGGGCGCTCGCCTTTATTTCAATATACTCGAGCAACCTGAGTTCGATCCCCGGTGCCGGCACCAATGAAGTTTTTAACTTTAAGTGCTGACTTATCACGTGCTCCGCGGTGAAGGAAAACATCGTGAGGAAACCTGCATATTTTCGAAATAATAAGAAAAAAAATGTTTTTCGAAGATATGTGAAGTCCGCCAATCCGCAGTGGGGCCGCGTGGTGGACTATGCCCTGATACCCTCTGTATAGAGGAGGCCTTTGCCCAGCAGTGGGACATGTATAGGCTGTTACTTTACTTTTTTTACAGGATCGTGCCTAATGGCAGTCTGTGGGGGAGGCCTATGTCCAGCAGTGGACTCAAACAGGCTGAAATGATGATGATGATCATATTCTAGCTCACCTAAACACATCCGCCCAGTCCAGCTGTTGCCTCGGCTGAGTGCGCGCTTGCGTGGCATAGTGCGCGCATATTCTCTCGAACACGCAAGCCTTACTCCCAAATTCCGCCACGATGTATTTCTCCACCTCTTGAGCGTCAAACGGATCGACCGGCTGGCTGGCGTACGCCAGTTCACGGCGGCTTCTTGAACGGTACGTCGCTGTAAAAGATAATAGGTATCCTTCAATGTGCTGTACAAAAATGCAAGTGTTAACACATCGATGTTTTAGAATCGATTCGCTTTTTAATAGTCATTCGTTTAGCTCCACGCGGCAGCTTGTGCTGGTGCCGTGAATGGGCAGTTCGGGAAACTACTGCTTGAAATACAGTTGGTAGTGACGTCACCGGGCTCTCTCTTTTTATGTTTGCAAATTCACAGATTGAAATTACCCTAGACGGCGTTAAACACTTAATATCAAATAAATTGCGCACTCGTGTCCCACCTTCTCATACAAAAAAGTTACTTTACCGACTAATGAATGCTGAAAAAATTTGGTACGTTGAGAATTCGTTAAAAACATATGCACGCTATAAAGTTTAACTTTAATAATTAACCTAAATACATATATGTCTCAAGAACAATAATTTTAATATTTCTGCCTCTCTAATCTTTGGCTCTATGTGCGAAATAGGAATACCACTAGACTTAGGAATCATTAATGACTGTGAAAAAAGTAGTAATTTATAATCATTGCACTATTAAATTACAGATAGGTATTAAATCAAACTATGCTTTAACTTGGCAATAGGACATGGAAGTTGTGTTCGGGGCAATTTGTTTACATGATTTATTACTGGAACTATTCAGCTTTAACTTTAATACTGGATGCAATCCAATAATTTCAAACTAATTTATTACGCCAATTAATTGTTAACACTGTTTTGATTGTGGTCTCCTTTCATAAAATTTAAAAAACACAAAAATTAAGAATACAAAGTTCGTGTGTGATACGTGAGGTGTAAAAATAAGAGTTTAAGAGTTATAATCGAAGTATATCATACTTTCTTATTAGGACTACGATCATGGCCATATATTAATAATATATATTCGTTTCTCCCACTGTCTGCCATTGTAACCAACTACCATGTTGGTGAAAAATACATCATGAGGAACCCCGTGTGTAAGAAATAATAAAAAGAATATTCCAAAAATAAGTGAAGTCTGTCAATCCACTGTGGGATCAGGTATTGGACTATTACAGCTGTACGCATAGCCGTTACTTTATTTTATCTGATCTGACTGATACTGTTGATAGACTAAGTTATCAAAGTATTTTCTTATCAGCTACCGCTATTCTATTATCGATGCGTTCTTTAGAAATACCTTAAAGCAAATATATAAGAACGCTATTTTTTTGTTGTTTTTTTTTTTTTTTCAATGAAAGTATAGACTTCGTATATACTGAACAAAGAACTTTAGGTATACATATATATAGATCGTGAAATTGAGGAGTTAAAACCCAGCGACACAGCTAATAAAATCCTTATACATAGTTACATAAAAGAGGTCAAATCTGTTAAAGGCTGGTTGTTACTTTCGTTAAAGTCAATATCTGCTTGTAATTTTAACTTTCTTTGGGTACATTAACCGGCATCTGTTACTTCTTTACGTATTAGCCCTACACAGACCTTGAATATTAATCGTAAAACTTCTTCACTTCTGTCAACACAGACTTTTTTCTAGTCCCTTTCTTTTTTAAATGTCTGAAAACATTTCTCATATGCATATTCTCATATTTATTACAACCTTTGTATGAAAATGTTTCATAACAGAACTACTGTTATGAATCAATTTTTATAAACTCGCGAACGTAAAAGTAATTCATATAACAAGTACGGCACTAAATCATTGTCCCGTTTGGTTATCAAACTAAAATCAATCATAATCCAATCACGGCATTTATGCGAGGTATACAGCAAACAGTTGGTGAAGTGATGACCAATCGTCTAGTAAAGACAAAGACGTATCGAACAACTAAGAAAAGAGCCAAGAAACGCCAAGCACTTGTAGAAATCGTCATCATCATCCTCCTGCAGTTATCCCAACTAGGTGGAGTCGGCACAAGATGTGAATCGCGATGTAAGCGATTTCGGCTATGTTTTAAGACCGGCCGCTTGCCTGACGTCAACCCACCTTGGGAAACAAACACCCAGATCCGGGAATATTATTTGTGGGTCACACAAATACTTATCCCGTATGAGAATCAAACCCACGAACCTCGACGCCGAAGCCAATAGCTTGGCAATGGCGCCATCGAGTCATCACACGTCAAATCGTAAGTTCTTATAGAAATGCAAAATAAAAATAGATATTTGCAGAGATCTTTCGACCGCGAGAATAACGGCCGCTTAACTTAGATGGCTTCTGGGTGGATAAACTAGAAGACGCAGGTTCGAATCCTGACAGCGTGAAAATTTTCGACTTTTAATTGTTAAACTAACATTTAACTGCCTCGTAGATGTATATATTCAATACAATCTTGATGAAGATTGTAAAATGAATGACGAGTACATCGGATTCTATGTGAAAAAAGTGAAATTGCATAGATCACAAAGTAAAATTATTTTAAAATAGCGCTAATAAATCGACTTTCTGTTAATTCGCATATGAAACAGTCACGATAAATCGGTCATTTTACATTTGTCAATGTTATGACACATAATGTTTATATATAAAAAAAAAAACAGACCGAGCTTAGCTCGGTATTTTGGAAATTACATTTAGATACAAATTACTAAGTAGCGAAATATGCATAATATGTTTCGAACTTACCGACGTAATAATAAGAAAATATGAACTGGTGTTTTTCACAAAAGAAAGAACTTTAAGAAAAAGGGAAAAAAATAACAAAATAACAAACGGACAAAAAATAAAAGATAAAGAAAGCAATGATCTGGAAAAAAAGTAAAAAAATAAGTGTGTAAATGATCGTGATACGAACCACGGCCTTCTGTTTCGTGGCTGTTTGTTAGCGGCCGCCCGATTACCGACCGAGCTATTACAACATTTTTTTCAGTGAAATTTACCGTCGTATTCGAATAATATTTTTCATTCCCTGAAAACTGGGATATAACGACACTTTCTAAAAATAAAACCTAATCAGATCGATTTTTCGCCCCCGAATCTACGCACATACAAAATTTCATGAAAATCGCTGGAGCCGTTTCCGAGATTCCAATTATATATATATATATATATATATATATATATATATATATATATATATATATATATATATATATATATATACATATATATATATATATATATATATATATATATATATATATATATATATATATATAATAAAAAAATATTAAAATTGAACAATAGAAGCAAATAAAACAATTCTTATGAACTTATAATGTTTTTTTTTCTTCCGTCCATTAACGTTTCAAAAAATTCGACACATCTGGAATTTCGACTTTAATAGAAACACGTTAAATGCTAAAAATTATACAGCGTGGCGTTACAACCGCGACAATAAATGAACACACAACATATAGAGGATAACTTTTTAAAATTGTATTAAGCATTTAAACATCAATATGTACAGAGTTATTAAATTTTACAAACAAACCTTTTTAGAACATCCTTACGTATATGACTGTAACGGAAAGTTCATTTGTAAAGGTCACGAAGCATTTGAATGGGTTGAATAAATTTAAGAGATAAAACATACTTTTAGAAGGAGAGATTTGTAATACGACGTTTTGGCAAAAAATTAAAAAGTCTCTGAATGTATTAATCAGTCAGTTTTAGTTTTATAGGATGATACAAATTTTGTGTCTTTTATATTTAATTGGTTTGTTTAAAAATAATTTAAAAATATATTTTTTGATTAAGGATTTTTTTAACATTTTACATTTTTTATGATTATTGGCATGTAGCGTTAGAGGTGTGTTCATTTATTGTCGCGGTTGTAACGACGCGCTGTAAATTCTACATTAAATGAAACTTAAACATTTAAAGCAATAAATTTTTTGAGTCACTCACCGGGGCTTAAGGAGTATGCGAGTTTCTTCAGGAAGTTCGTAAACCTAACGGTGCCTACGATAGCCGGGAAGCCGACCAGTTGCACGGGCAACTCGAAATTTGTCTGCTGACCGTACACACACATCTGATAGTTCAGGAGCAGCAAAGAGAGAAGCAAAAAATAATTGAAGATACGACCGAACTCCATTTCGAACAATGCCAAATGAACATTAGAACTAACGAGTGCAATGCTGGTGTCTAATAGGCCACAGTTTCACAACACACTGTCACACCATCATCGTTACTTATAAATATTCAACTTGAACGTTTTGTAATGCTTACATAATACATAATATGCACAGTTTGTAGCCGACTACAAAATCGTTTTAAGCGCGCCGAAATTTTAAGCTATGATTATTTTCGTTTGTAGCAGACTTGAGGTTAATTCCAAGAAAGCAGTACTTTTGAGATACTCGGTGAATGGCGAACTAACACGTTCAACAGCGAATAATGAACTGGAGATTATTTGACAAGGAAAGTTGCACCGTCCCCGGCGAGTGCTTAATATGTTCTTGTCGGTCAATCTAAGTTATATCACAGCGTGTACAATATTAAGGAAGTTATAGTAGCTTACTGTCAAAACTAGGCCAATAATTTAAAGTTGCACGTTGCAAATGGTGTTATGAATATTAGTATAAACTATAATTTGTATAAACTTTAAACTATCGTTTACTCGAAACTACTGTTTTGATACAATGGCTTGTATAAAGTAATATTATATTAATATTAGTTTATGCAAGCCATTGTAGTAATATTTATATTTATATTTATTACTATTAATATTAATTACGTGTACTTTTTTATTTTTGTGTAGGTATTATTAGTTTTCTACGGGATCCAAAGTGCCGCCGCAGTCTTTAACCTTGTCCAAAACAAAAAGAAAAACGCGAAACTGAGTGCCAACCCCTAAGAAGGTAACAAGTCCATTTTCAACCGACTTCAAAAGGAGGAGGTTCTAAATTCGACTGTATTTTTTTTTATGTCTTTTAGTTTAGTAATAAACAGTTACCAACATCTTTAAGAATCAAAGAATATTTATGTAGTTCAATTTTCGTATTTGTTCTAATTTTCTGTATTGGATTTGACTATGTTTCAACAATTTTATTTTCTTCAAATAAGTGTTTAAACAATTTTCCAATTACAATTTCGCGTTCTTTTAAGCATTATGCTCTTTTATTGTTCTTTATAACTATAAATAGATTCGTAATTCGGATAAAAGTAATAAATTTCTACGTTTACATTAACTCACAACGTTGTTGAGTTCCCTGGGAGCGAGATTCGCAATATAAATAAAAGTAATGCACACGTAATAACCATACCGTAACGAAGAAGCGTTCGCATAACATGCCGGATATTATAAAAGTATATTTTATATATGTAATGAAATGTTTAAAATGTATACTTTGAACATTCATTTAACATGTCCATGGAAGATGGGTCGGGCGCTGGTATGGGATGCAACCTGTTCAGACACACTGGCCCGTTCCCATCTACATGGAACCAACAACAGACCTGGTGCGGCTTGTGAAATGGCTGAAAAAGCTGAAGCTTGCAAATACCGGGCCTAGGCTCCGAATATTTTTATTTTATTTTTATTTTATTTTATTAGGAAAACTTACAGCAAATTAGGTACTTATTTTAAAACAATATTGTAACATATATAAAGAGCCAGTTACAAGTTTCCACCTTTAGTACATAATTATGTTTAAAAAAAAAAAAAAAAAAGTCGAGCAAGTGATGAAAGAAAAAAAAAGATGATAAAAATGAATAAATAAAAAAGGAAAAAAAAAACTTAATACATAAATCAAATTCAATTCTTAGTAATTAGTTAACCATCTTTAGGAAAAATATTGCTCTGTTAAAGTTTTTTTAGCCACAGTTGGAGAAGTAAAGAATGGGTCGATATTTCGTGCATTAATAAATTTAGCAGTCCTAATCATAAAATAATTGCACCTGTAATTCGTATGAGCTCTGGGTATGTAAAGAAGTCTGCGGTTCCTCGTGTTTGCTATAGGTACATTTATAGTGATGTCTGATAATAGTTCGTGAGAGTTAATTGAACCGTTACAGAGTTTCAGGTAAAAACATACGTCACTAATATCTCGCCGAACGGACAAAGGAAAGAAAATGGTACCTATGGCACCTATCATTGTAGTCACGTGAGTTATTATGCGCTCGGTAATCAAGGTATCTTAAAAATCTTTTCTGGATACCCTCAATACGAGACTTGTAAGTCTCATATTGTGGATTCCAGACCTGCGAGGCATATTCGAGTATAGGTCGTACAAATGAGCAGTAAAGAATCTTTATTGTTTTGAGATTACTGAACACAGAAGAACAGCGAATGATGAAACCCATAGCTTTGTATGCTCTGGATGTAATATAAGGTATGTGCTTGTCAAAGATGAGTTTTGAATCGTGAATTACTCCCAGATCGCGCGCCTCATATACTCTAGCAATAGATGTTCCCATTAAGTTATATCCTCCGTCAATAATATTGCTTTTCCTTGTAAACGACATAAAGAAGCATTTAGTGATATTCAGATCTAGTTTGTTTTTGTTACAATACATTACAAGTCTTTGTAGATCTGATTGAAGCAGTAATGTGTCCTCCTTACTAGTGATGACTTATATATATGATCTGGAATTGGTCCGTGTAGTCCTAGCGCTATAAGGCTTTTTAAGGAAATAACAAAAAGGTTAGTGGACATCACAGGAGACCAATGAGCTGGCAGCTACCTCGAACACAGAGTTAGTCTAGCTATTCAAAGGGGGAACGCTGCCAGTATCTTCGGAACCTTGAATAAAGGGACTCCTTTTAGTAATATATTTTAGTTTTTATATTATATATTTTTTAAGGTTTTTAGTTTTAGGCTACAGTCATATTATGTGAACTTTTTAGTAATATGATTTAGTTATATTTGTATACTACATGCATATTTATATAATACTTAGCATTCAAAACTTAAATTTTATAGTTTACTAGTAAAGTGGAAGTATAATACTTTCGCGTTTCGTCTGGTGAGTGAGGTGGCCGGAGCCCAATTACCAAAAGGTTGTCAACACATCTGGAACCCTCGAGTGTACCAGATGTCCACGGGCGGCGGTATTCACTTAACATCAGGTGAACCGTCTGCTCGTTTGGCAACGTTTCACATAAAAAAAAGTAACGCGTTTATTATAAGTTTTCTTTGTGCTCATTTTATATTTTGTGTTAATGTAAATAAATTAAAATGGAACACATAGTTAAAGACATTTTTTTATTCTGCTTTCCAGCAATGATTGTGTTTTATTCATAATTGACTGTCTTTTTTAATAATTGATGTCTTTTTTAAAACAAAATTTTAATTCGATTTTTTTTACTTTATCACAAAAAAAAATAAGTAACAATAAAAAAATCACGATTTCTTTTTCATTCGCTTATAAAATTAAATATGCTTGATAGTATTTTTTATATAAATCGAAATACTCAAATTTGCCAATATTCTCCGAGAAATCTTTTGTAATGAAAATTATTCTACTAATGTACGATAAAACTATGCCGATAGATTATCTCACTGATGATTTATTTCACTTTATAATGGATCAGTTGGCGCAGGTCCTAAATTATTGGCTCCAGTGCCAAAGTTGTGGGTTGAATTCCCATGTGGGAGTAGTAGATGAAATTTATGCATGTAAAAGTTCCTTAAAACAACATATTATCCACACAGTAATGTAATATACAAATAGATGCTATATTTATTAAAATTTATATTTATTAAATTAAAATTTTGCTTTGGATACAGTTTTAGTACCTACTAAAATATGTGGAATTCAAATACCTATTTGAATTCCACATTTTATCAGTTATACTATAACAGTCAAATTTAATACCTATTGCGTATGGTATGACGTGGAGATTGAAATAACAACTTTGTTATTTAACTTGATAACCTGGAAACTTCATTAAATAGCCAGGTAATGGCTCATACACACATTAACACAATCAATGGAATGGTCATTAGGAAATTCCAAGGGCCAACAAGTGTGGTAACTGAGAAACTATTTACCTGGACTCAATGCATATGACAGTTTCTTGATGAAGTTGGTCACCCTCACGGCCATTATAATGAAAGGGAAACCCACCAACTGCACTGGAAGTTCAAACGAGCTCTGTTCACCGTAACCTTCCAGAGCACACTGCAGCACGAGTAAAGAAAGGAAAGACCAGACGTACAGCACTTTAGATAACTCCATCGTAGCTTAAGTTTTTTTGATTTTTTTTTTTCGAAACTTTAAAATTTTCAGCCAGCGTGCGACGCAATATTCACAGGCCCATTATCGTACTTAACTTTCGCATCTGATCAAACACAACGACCTTAGCTGATATTCTAAATTCTAAAATCGACTAAATGGGCCTTGATTGAGACACGGTCTTGAATCAATTTCACGTAAATGGGCCTTGATTGAGACACGGTCTTGAATCAATTTCACGTGATTTGACCTAAGCTTATTAGACTGCTAGTAGTTATTAATATGATTGAAATGCATGTTTGGTCAATTTATCACAGTGCGTGGGAACATTCTGCCAACAGTGGAAGCTGTAATAAAAACAACATAAAAGTTAAAAAAAAAACATTAAAAAATTTTACGCGTTAAACCTGTAATTGTTTTTATGTATGCAGGTATGTAACTGCATAGTCACAATCCTTCATTAGCTATCCGACAGGCTCGACTTTGAAGTCGCTGCCCCCGTCGAACATACGCGCTTTCCTTACGTAGAAGGACACACATCGGATGTGCCTTGACATTGCACTCGTCAAAAACATCAGTCTCTCCTTATGCGAACCGGAAGTGATACACGAGCTTCACTCCGATCACCGACCAGTTCTCCTCCGGCTAGGGCCTTCAGCAATAGCCGCTCCCCTAACCAAAACTGTCATCAGCTGGCTTAAAATCAAATCTAAATTTAACGAACCTAATCCTCCACAACTAGAGTCAATCCCTAAAGAATTGAATACCAAACAGGACACGGAAACCGCAATTCGAGCCCTCACAAGCCACGTCAACACCGTCGTCGAGCAATGCTCGAGACAGGTCCCGGCGATGGAAGACCATCGCTGGGCCCTGCCAGACGATGTGCGAGACTTGCTGAGACGCAAGAATGCGGCCACTCGAGCCTATGATAGATATCCCACCGACTCGAATCGTAGACTGCTACGTAAATTGCAGCGTGAGGTCAAAACACGCATAGCAGACTCACGAAACGAACGATGGGACTCCACCCTAACCTCAGTAAAACCATCCCACGTAGCCTTCTGGAAACTTCCCAAATCCCTCAAGGGTAACGGCATAACAAACATGCCGCCACTAGTCCGTCCGATAGGTACGCCAGCAATGCTGGACGAAGAGAAGGCCGAATGCCTGGCTGACAGCCTAGAGTCTCAATGCTCCCCCAGTCTGCTTCCGATCGACCCCGAACACCTCCGCAAGGTGAGGTGGGAGATACTTTAGAGCCACTCCGCGATATCCCCGGTCACGTGCCTAGAACTAGTAGAGACTATAAAAAAACTACGCCCCCGTAAAGCACCAGGCTCAGATGGAATCACCAATAAGGTGACCAAGCTCCTCCCTACTAGCATCCTTCAAATACTAGTATTAATTTACAACGCGGCCTTAACCGAAGGCTTCTTCCCATCCGAGTGGAAGGAAGCTGATGTCATAGGGTTCCTCAAACCCTCTAAACCCGCCACTCTCCCAACCTCATATCGTCCAAAAAGTCTTCTCAAAACATTTGGGAAGATCTTTGAAAGACTAATATTAGCCCGCTTAAGATCCCTTATGGACACCAAAGGGCTCCCCATCCCAGAGCAGTTTGGATTCAGAGCCAAACACTCATGTACCCCAAGTGCACCGCATCACGGAGCACATTTTAACCAAACGCCAACGTGGACTCAACACCGGTGCACTCTTCCTGGACGTGGCAAAAGCGTTCGACAAAGTCTGGCACAACGGGCTCGTATACAAACTATACGGGTACGGAGTGCCTGACCGTCTCGTATGCATAATACGAGACTTCCTGAGTAATCGAACCTTTCGCTATCGCGTCGAGGGCGTGTGTTCGACTACGCATCCCGTTCGAGCCGGGGTGCCCCAAGAGTCGGTGTTGGGCCCAATCTTGTTCACTCTCTACACCAATGACATGCCACGTGTCAAAGATGTAGAACTTGCTCTTTTTGCCGACGACACCTGTATCTATACCACAGGCAGAACACCCGAATTGATCCATCGACGCCTCCAAGCTGCGGCCATCACCATTGGTGACTGGTTTCGGCAATGGAGGATCGAGATCAATCCCGCCAAAAGCGCGGTCGTCCTTTTCGCGCACAAAAAGAACATACCCATACCAACCCCCGTTAAACTCTTGGACAGCCCAGTACCATGGGTTAATAAAGTCAAATATCAAGGCATCGTCCTCGACTCCCAGCTTAAATTCACCCAGCACGTGACCCAGGTCAGGAACCGGGCGGCCTTCGTACTCGGTCGCCTCTACCCGCTCCTCAATAAAACGTCAAAAATGTCCCTTCGGAACAAGGTGACCTTATATAAGGCAGTAGTTCGCCCTATCATGACGTACGCGAGCCCCGTCTTCGCTCACATTGCTCCGAAGCAAATACACCGGCTTCAGGTGATTCAAAATCGATTCTTGCGCAGAGCCACGGGAGCACCCTGGTTCATGCGCAATATCGACCTACATGTCGATCTAGAATTGCCCACCATCGCGCAATTCCTGAAGTCGGCGTCGCGCCGATATTTCGATTCCGCCGCCGCGCATCCCAACCCACTCATCGTAGGTGCCGTCACCTACAGGCCCTTGCCGCTAAATATTTTCCGCCGCGATTACCGAAGACCGCGTCACGTTCTCGACTTCCCTGACGATGAGACGACTATCGCCATCGAAAGGATCAAAAAACTCAAGAAACACACCAACACACACCGCACTCGCCGGCGAGTGCGGCATACATATACTAGGTTCCGCCACGTACCTGGCAGGTTTTCCCCTATTAATGATAGAAGCGTTGCTGGAGTTTCTTCCGCCACTTCTTCTCCCAGCGCCAACGCTCTCCGAAGTGGTAGTAATGTTAGCTCTAGTAATTCCCCCAGTCAGATAATAGCTACCGATCGAGCCGAGGTCCGGCCCTCTCGGGCACCCTCGAATCGGAATGCTAAAAGCGTGCTGAGTGACAGCCCAAGCCGAGGTCCCCTCTCGGGGAGCCTTGAGCCTGATCACTCCATGGAGCGTCCGCCAAAGCGCCCTAAGAGCTTGGCGGCCTCCCAAACCGGTAATAATAATAGCGTGACGGCCCGAGCCGAGGCTCCCCCGGGAGCCCTCGAGCTTAGTCACCATAACGCGTAATAATAGTACGCAGAGGTTCAGGCTAGGCGCCTCGTGCGCCAGGCCACCTCAAGTCCGTCGGATCTGTAAAGGCCTCTAAGGCCAACAGTGGCTCATCCAGCCCAAAAAAAAAAATAAAAAAAATCCTTCATTAGGCACTTGTTTTTGTATATTTGGTCTGCTTAAACTTCCGGCGCTTTTACAAGGAAGTAAAGGTAATTATACTTGAATGCCATGTTTTAACGTTTGAATTAAAAAAATTACGATTGTTGGCAAATATTTAAATGATTGCGTAGCCACTAAAGAAAATGTATAGGAAATATCGAATAGTAGATAAAAGGCTTTTAATGTTTTTAATAATGGAAACAAACATTGGGCATTGCAAACAAATTTTTTGCTTTAGATATGATTGAACTATTCTTTAAAATAAGACATGGTTAATGTAGCGTAAAACATGTGATAACAATAATTTTAAAATACTTTTTTATGTAGGTCCAATACAGAATTTAGGCGAGCCGTAGTGAAACTCCTAGCTAATGTAAATGATCTAAATTCTAAATTATTATTTTTTACAGTTAGTTTGCTCAAAAATGTAGTTGTTGCTTTAAAAAAATTATTAGCCAATCTGCAGTGTAGTCGCGTGGTGGACTATGCCCTGATACCCTTTTCAAAGATCAGGCCTTTGGCCAGCAGTGGGACATTTGTAGGCTGTTTTAAATTTTTTCATTTATAATTATTTATATTAATTTAATACCAAAATTCAAAAGTTCTGCTTTGTCTTTTGTTTGCTTTGTCACATCACTCGAGCATGGCGACGCGTCACCATCCCGTATTAGTTGTTTCATACTATCACTACAGTCGGTCAGACTCCCCGTTTTAGAAGGATAAATAAAAGTCAATACTTATATTATTTTTTTGAAGCGCGGTATAATTATTTCTCTCAATTTTAATTAACGTTCATTAAAAATTAAGTAAACAGAACAAAACGTATACACGAGTACCTTTAAATGTCTTTTTATCTTTAATTATGTTAAATTAAAATTTTATACATATTCATTTCTTGGTGCAGGTCCATGGGACTTGGGTTCGATTCCCACAACGGCGGAATTTTTAGAAATTTAAATTGTTTATAGTGCTAATCTTTGCACTTAAGATTGAACATTAAAATATGTAGAAAAAGTGCGAAAAGATTGTCGCCGCTGTGGGAATCGAACCCACGTCTTCGGCATTCGCGGCCTGACGCTCTAGCCACTGAGCTAAACGGCTGATTACCACACCGACGAAAATCTTAACGCATTCTTCTACATTGTTTTCTTAGCATTTGAAGCAATGCTTGACGCCATCTATTGTTATATCCTTTCCAGCATACAAACAACTTCGAATATCGTTCTACAACGATAATTCGAACGAGAGATGTCGCCATTGCTTTTTTTTTAGAAATTTAAATTGTTTATAGTGCTAATCTTTGCACTTAAGATTGAACATTAAAAATTTTTTCTAAAAATTTAATTTTTTTCTTAAGTACAGAAGTAAGTACTATAAAATTTAAAATTCAGATAATATTGTATTCCATATTCTATTCAGATTCTTCCTACAGTTAATTTTTTCCATTGCTGCGTCAGTGCAAGCCGGAAAGCTCCCACATATTTTTAAACAAGCGATAATATTGATTCCACTATGTCTAAAACATTTTACACCTACATACATGTGCATACACAGCTTCTTCGACGCTTTAAACGTGTAGGTAGATAAATTCTCAAAAAATATCTTAAGCCTATCTTTGAAACACATTTAAATTTTCAATTGAGTCCAAATTAGCACTGAATTTTTAAAAAAAATCTAAAACGAAGTCTTTGCAAAA